GGATCGAGCTTCTTCTTTGAAGTCTATTAATAAATAAAGAAAGTTCCAGGTAATATGACGAATGATGAATCTGTACATCAGATATATCGGCCTCGCCCGCGTGGTCTTGTATTATACTTAAAAACCTTCCTTTTGAATCGCCCTATCTATGAAAAAAACCGCATCAAAATCCGTTGCGTAGTTTTAAAGATTTAAGCATACATACGGATATACGGACAGAGAAAGCGACTTTGTTTTAGGCGCCTATTACACTACCCAATCTATCGTCCTCGATTTAGGGCGGTTGGCGTCGTTGTGATTACACTGCACTAGATCGCCTCCCTAACACAGTTGGCATGCAAACGTGGCGTTGAAAGGATGGCTCCTTCGCTCATAAAGTAACAAAAAATTGGCATAGCCCATACTTTAACTGCGGGCATAAATAATAAAACAAAATGTTGGGTGAAAAATATTTGCTTCTAAGAGACCAACTATGCAGTTTGAACTACTACAGAATGAGTTCTGCACAATTTGATCATATATTAAACTTAGTCTTACCTTATATAGCGCAAAACAGCGGTTAGCTGTGCTGTAACCTTAAAATTTTTAGCAACTGGAAATGCATATCATGACTTAAAGTATAAATACTCAATAAGTTTATTGTTTCCATAGGTAATTTAAAATAATATTACATAATTAAGTTAGTCCCACTATGGACCCTATCGGGCACAACAATAATATAAAGGAGTAGTATTAGTTTTTATTATTGTAATTTATAAAAAAATTATAATTGATAATTATAAATTTTTAATTTCGCTAAAATCATTGATATCAGAACCCCTGCTATCAATAATTGTACCAGACACATGCAGGACTATCTAGAAATGTTTAAAACATTATATCATATATATATTATAAGAAAAAGTAATAATATTAAATTAAATTATATTTAATATTATTTAAATTACATTTAATATTATTTCTTTTCCTTTTGAGAAGACATTTTTCTCTGTTCGCAAATTTCGTTGTCGTTCACTGACGTCTCACACGCACGCTGCGCAACAATCGACTGAGCGCTCTTACACCCTAACAGCGATCACATTACCCGATAAATCGGCCCTAACTCTCATCGGGCGATCGGGCGCCCACGTTCACCCGATATCGAGACCCTAACTCTCTAACTGCAATTAGACTTCGGCGCCTATTACACTACCCAATCTATCGGGCCCGATCCATCGGGTACACTGTAAATTGGGTAGTCTAATCGCAGTTAGAGAGTTAGGGTCCCGATATCGGGTGAACGTGGGCGCCCGATCGCCCGATGAGAGTTAGGGCCGATTTATCGGGTAATGTGATCGCTGTTAGGGTGTTAGAGCGCTCAGTCGGTTGTTGCGCAGCGTGCGTGTGAGACGTCAGTGAACGACAACGAAATTTGCGAACAGACAAAAATGTCTTCTCAAAAGGAAAATAAATAATATTAAGTGTAATTTAATATTATTACTTTTTCTTATATATATGTATATATCAATATGATATAATGTTTTAAACATTTCTAGATAGCCTTTGCATGTGTCTGGTACAATTATAAATTTTATATAAATTACAATAATAAAAACTAATGCTATAATAAACTTTATATTATTGTTGTGCCCGATAGGGTCCATAGTGAGACTAGCTTAATTATGTAATATTATTTTAAATTACCTATGGAAACAATAAACTTATTGAGTATTTATACTTTAAGTCATGATATGCATTTCCCGTTGCTAAAAATTTTAAGGTTACAGCACAGCTAACCGCTGTTTTGCGCTATATAAGGTATGACTAAGTTTAATATATGATCAAATTGTGCAGAACTCATTCTGTAGTAGTTCAAACTGCATAGTTGGTCATTTAGAAGCAAATATTTTTCACCAAACATTTTGTTTTATTATTTACGCCCACAGTTAAAGTATGGGCCTAAGCCCATAGTTCAAACTGCATAGTTGATCTCTTAGAAGCAAATATTTTTCACCCAACATTTTGTTTTATTATTTACGCCCGCAGTTAAAGTATGGGATATACCAATTTTTTGGTACTTTGTGAGCGAAGGAGCCATCCTTTCAACGCCACGTTTGCATGCCGAGTAAGGGAGGCGATCTAGTGCAGTGTAATCACAACGACATCAACCGCCCTAAATCGCGGCCGATATATCGTGCCCGATAGATTGGGTAGTGTAATAGGCGCCTTAGACTTCCCAATTTACAGTGTACCCGATGGATCGTGCCCGATAGATTGGGAAGTGAAATCGGCGCTTAAAATACAAAGCTTGTGCGTCGCACTCACTCACACTCAGTATTCAGGAGGATATTCAGGGTCGTTTGATGGCGTGATAGTTGTATAATGCCGATTGGTCGACAATTGTCGCTGTTCTTAACTTATACTTCTGCGCAGGTACATTGGTGTTAAAGTTTATTCAAATTTCATTTCATTACATCATTATAAAATTACATTACATTACAATATATCAAATTCATCACATTGTACATATGTACTCAATTTACAAATGTGTAGGATCTGTGGTTGAATTAGATATATAGAATAAATCTATATCTCAAGCTCCATTGCTGGAGCTCGATGGCGCAGTCTCCAGCGCTCTCGGTCTCCGTTACGATTATTGAGAAACTTTCACAATGGTCGGTCATAGGATGGCATAGGATGGGTGACCAAAAATTTATTATCTCAAACTACTCCGTGCTTGTCAAACACTTCAAGTCGTCCCGGCTGCATCTGCAGTTGTAACACCCACCAATCCGCACTAGATCCGTGCGGTGGGTCAGGTGAACGAACCCTATTCAATTGAATCTATAGAGACGGCCTGAGGTCCCGGCATTATTAGGCTGGCGATATGGGGATTAATTAAAACATCGGTTTTACTAACAATTACTTTATTATATAAAATTGTACAAAAGTATTTCTCACTATGATAAAAACGGTATTTTCAATAATATTTGTTATCTAATGACTAAAAAAATACATAAATATAATAAATTTAAGTTTAATTTAAATATAGAAGGAAGTTTATAATCATCACAAATAAATAAAAATAATGTTATGAATACGACAGTTTAAAATTATCAACTATCGATAAGCATATCGATTTGATTACAACACTATCCAACCTCAATATAACAGTAGCGTTTAACAACTCTAGTATCACGTGATATCGGAAATGGTAACCAAAATTATTACTTATGTAAAATCAACAAAATGTTTCCAAACGATTTCTAACCTTAAAACCTTAATTGTAGGGTATAAAATTTGATATTGCAACCGGAAATATGTTTTTTTTTTAATTATAATACTATTCAATGGTCTACATTTTCATAGATATGACTCTATTAAACAAAGACAGTGCTTTATGGAAAATAAATAAGATAATGGATTTACAATAAATAAATATTTTAACACCTTTGTTCGTAAAGCTGATGTAATTCCACCGGTTTTAAATATGTAAAGCGGGTCATAAAAAACGCGTGTGTTACCAAAGCGAATAGTTAAGTTATAGTCCATACAAATTCCATAACAGTATTATTTGCCATTTCGCGCGCTGTTGCTATTCAAATTTCGAACTAATCGCCGCGCGGCGTCAGTCAGTAGGCAGCGCTAGCGCGCTGTTAAAATGGCGGGAAAGCAACAGTACATACATTCACAGATTGAGTTTATTTAATGTTTTTTTCTGTTTCCTCGCAAATGTGTTAAAAACGTCGTACGATATACGTGCGTATTGGTTATAACATGCTCGGCTCAATTATGCTGAAATTCCGCCTCGCATGTTATAACCAGTGGTCGGAATTAGGTAAAGTTATTCATATACTTACACTGATTTCATACAGCGAAAGAATAAAGTGGATATGCCTCAAATACCGAGATTAATTTTAAAGAGCAGAAAAAATCCCGTGATTTTTCAAATAAAAAGTTATTTACTTTTACACAATTTAAACTACTGCACGCACGGCGTTGCCAAACTTACATCAATGACATCGGATGTCCAAAGATGTCCAAGATTGTCCATTAGAAATCCCGGGAAGGTCCACATTAATATCAACATTTCGATGCAAGTACATAAATAACTCTACCTAATTCCGACCTCTGGTTATAACCATCATAACGCACTAATATCGTAATGTACTATTATAGCTCAGTCGCCGAACAGAAACAGTTCCGTACGTTGACTTTTGTATCTATCAATAAACCGTAAAACAGTAAACCTTTTAAGTTTATTTTACAGTGACAAAATTGGCTAGATCCATATGTGTGAGTGCAATAGCAATCCCTTTGCGCACGAGTGAGAGACATGTAATGGCGGGTCGTACAAAATTCTCTCTATTCGGCAGCCATAGACAATATTAGAGGACGCCCATTAATCACGTGAGTCACGGGAGGAGGTTCGTCAAAAATCACAAGGGAGAGGGGGGTGAAGTAATATATCAAGTGTATTGATTTTTTCCTCAATCGAAAAGTGGCGTCAGAAATTAAGATTTTTTTGTTGGTACTAAATGTACACGTGATTTGGGTGGAGGGGGTAGTCTTAAACCTCACCATGTGTCACCAAAGAGGGGGGGGGGTCGTTAAAAAATGCTGTAAAAACCTCACGTGATTAATGAACGGCCCCTTGCATTGCTCGGATTCCAAAATAAGTAGCTAGAGCCCTCTTATTAGGAGTATCCGAGGCAGCGAAGATACCATAACACCTAGACTCTAGACCGTAAAGAAAAGTACATTATCTATATTGACTCGTCCGGGAATCGAGCCGTGATAACCACTCGACTAAGGAGGTCGATATTAGTTAGGAAAACTCACTCGAAACTCTATTAGAAATATTAAATTCAACGAACTTCCACTCTGTAGTAAATAAAGCTTTCCTTTGTTACGAGAAAACGTATTAGGGATGTAATCGATACCGATATATTATCGATTAATATGAAAAGAGGTCAAAAGCAAAACACATGCCAACACAAAGACTACTAACGTTATCCAGATCACAAATACGGACAGCTCGAGATGATACCTGATATAAAACATTACAATATTACCATTGAACATGGAAAGATAAAGCAGTCACTTCTGAGCGTCAACAGATGGCGCTATAAGATAGTATTGTAACATATACTTTTAAAGTGATAAGTTTTCTACTTTTTTTATCATTGTAAATAATTTATAACCGTTGTTTTGTTTTATTCATTGTTGTTTATGTCATTAAATGCAACTTTCAGTTAGTGTAAACGAGTCAAAACACTGTATAACCACCCAACGCTTACACATTGGTTATTACTATTTTTATTAAAAAAAAAACTAGTTCATTTAAAATAGGACTAAAGATTTCATTTTTTTTTTAAGAGCAGTGGGGTTTAAAATCAAAATCTGAATCTCGTACCAGGATTCGTTGATAATATTAACGGATATATGTGAATTGATATTTATAATATTTATTGTTAGTTTGAGTATTGAGTCTCGACTAGAAAATTAACCAAACCCGATGTGACGCTGGCAACACTGGCCCGAAGTAGCATATCTTATTTACCAGAAATTTCGTGTTACCTCCGTAATATGAACGCGAAGTGGGAACGGTTAATTTTGATACTTTATATAAAATGAGAAACACACACAGAGCCATCTAGTATTAAGTATGTACAATATACGTGGAATGTATATTTAGTCTGTGCCTCAACGAAATTTCGTTCAAGTAAAATAAGCAGACAATTTGTATTATTAAGATTTTTTTTCTTAAAATTTAATCTTTCACGTAATAAGGTTTATTATAGTAAGTGATAATAAGTCGGGTATTTCCCTATACGTTAATCCTCGCACGCATACTACTTTTTAATTATTTTAAAATAAATAAGCAAAAATTAAAGAAATCAAACTAAATCTCTATTTCCTTCTATTTCTAAATAAAATCACTAGCAGCTTTTAAATCCCAGCTTTTCATATGCATGATATATATCCAATATATATCGGATAAATATAGGATATATTTAACTATAAATTTCATATTTTGCGAATCCTGGTACAGATATATGGCAACAGGTCAGTTTACCACAATATGTCAAAATCCCCTAGTTGATTTTAAACTCTACCCACAAAATATTAAGGTTTGTTATCGACTGTACATCCAAACACGAAACAACTCCATTTAACAAAGGAATATATATTTTGCTCTATATAAACATTTTTACAGAAAATTAAACCAATATATTACGCTAACCATTTTTACAGAAAATTAAACCAATATATTATATACTCAGAATAGATGGCAGCACTAGTGCATATAGTAAACAAAAAACTTTTCTAATATTTCGTCTTTTGTAAATGAATTGAGTTTTTAATATGTTAGTTAAAAGGAATGGAAATGACTGTCTTTGGTCCATTCGTTTCCTGCAAAAATCGACTTTTGCTAGAGTCGCCATCTAGCGGAGGTGCTTTTTAGTGCTTACGTCTTTTTTTTTAAATACTTCCTCATTATAAATTCAAAAAATATTTGATTCTTATATGCTCTCTATTACTTTACTCTTAGCTGTCTACTCTGTGACAGACGTTTACATATAAACTGTATACTACATGCGCTAGTGCTGCAATCTGACGACGGAAAGTTGCAAATCAATATATATATAATAGTTATTTAAGATACGAGTGCGGAAAGTAAGGTTTTACGAATAAGGGCCAAATTGGCACGAATTCGAAAAACCTTTTACGCTCAAGTTTGTTACAACATTATTCAATGCTTTTTGCAAGGAAATAAAACAAATATATAGGTTAATAAAACTAAGTATGTATTAAAGGTAAAAATTATATGTTAAAATTAAACGTGATATTTGAACATGTTTTCGTGTCATACATTTTTATTTGAAAATATTCGTTCTAGGCTCCTTGAAATAGGTACTTTTGCCTCTAAAGTTTGACATATTTTCATCATTTTTTTTTTTAATTTCTATGGTGTGCGGCCAAAAAAAAATTAAAAAAATACTTTTAAGCACGTGTGCAGTAAAGGATTTCAGTATATTTTTATTTAACACGTGTTTACAATGGATTAAAAAAATAGCGCTTTATGAGCAACTGCATTGAAAAATACAATAAAAATCAAGGTGCAAAGTAATAAGTTAAATCTTACTCTTGGGCATTAAGATGGCGGCCACGCGACGTCCAGAGTCCACGGCGCCGTGGACGGTACTGAAGTGGGACGGGTCCGTCGCTTCGCCGGCGAATAATATTCTGGGCGCGCCGGCCGCGTCTGTGATTGGCTGAGCGAGGTCCGCGCGCGCGGTCGGGTGGAGGGGGGAGGCGACGTGATCGTACGTGTAACTGCCGCGCGTGTACGGGTTCGTGTACCACGACGATCTGGTGACCGAGATTAGCAAAGTTGAGGCACTTTCGCGATGGCTTGACATGGGATGGGTGAACGTTTTTTTTTTGTTTGGAGACGAGTTAACTGGTGCTAGTAAATGTTAATAAATCTCTCAGAGAAATATTTAAAGAAATAAATATTTTTACCGTTGCCTCTCTCAATACATCTATGAAAATATTATGTACGCAAGAAAAAATTACGATTCCTTCACAAAAAAAAGTTGTGTTCATACTCTTAACTCAAGAAATAAAAATAAACTTGCCGTTCCAAGGTTCAGACTTCAGAAAACTAGTGAGTAATTTCTGGGTAAATGCATTGCTATGTTCAATAAAGTTCCACAAAATGTAATTGACCTACCCATAAATAAGTTTAAAAATCATGTAAAAAAATATACTTATGAGTAAAGGCTATTATAAAGTAGATGATTATTTTAAGGATCGCAATGCATGGAATTAATAGCCTTCGCTTTGTTCTATAAAGACTAATTCTATAAACCTATGTCCTATAGACTTTGAAAGTTGTATTTATTATTGTGATAATACATATTATTTTGGTAATGACATGATTTATGTAAATGTCATTACTTATGATAAAGAGCTGGTAAGTTTCTTTCGCTTGTTCTTCTTGTCCACTAAAAGACTTATGAACAAGTAGTAGGGGACAAAAAATTTTTTTGGACGATTCAAAAGTGCTTGTAATACCTACGCCTACTTGAATAAGAACTTTCACTGAAACCGGCCAGGGACTGGGTGACCAGATTTTTTTATTACTCTATTAATTTGTGCTCCGCTAGGTAAGTTGAGCCGTTGGTCAGATCAACACCCACCAATTTATGACACATATATCCTCGCAAACATTCGCATTTGTAATATCAAAATAATACCTTATCATATCAATAGGATCGGGGACAGTGGTGTTCGCGCCCATGAATCTTCTAATCAGTTCCATTGATTTCTTCTTTATCACCTCATCGGGTAGAGTTTCTATCTGCAAGCATAATATAAACGTAAATACACTCATACAATGCCGAAGAAAAGAACAGGGCTATAAGGAGGGGGGGGGGGGTGATAATCATACTTTATAAGAGATCAGTAGCCTGTCTTATTTCAAAATCTATCGCAATTCCCTTCAAAAGTATTATAGCGATTTAGATCGGAACATAATAAAGACATAAGGAGGTGGGGGGGGGGGGGGAATAATCATAGTTTATAAGAGATCAGTGGCCTGTCCTATTTCAAAATCCATCGCAATTCCTTTCAAAAGAATTAGTATAGCGATTTAGATCGGAATTTAATAAAAACTGGTAACCTAAAGGAATATTTGCGTGACAATGACAATCCGTGTATATCTCTCAAATGTCAAATTGAAATGGATGCCGATAGATTTCAAAATTGAACAGTTAGGCCTGTGAGGTTATTTGAAATAATAGGCATGATGACTAATTTTTGTTTGTTTGTCCGTCAGGTAGAGTGTTAAAAAATATTAAACACGTATTTTTTTATTTTTTTCGTAATCATAAAATTATGGCGTTATATGGAGTTGAAATTTCGCATGACGTCACGTTAGAGTACGTTTTCTACTCAACTGTGACGTAGCGAGCCCCCACTCCTCAACTTTAATGCCTGTTGTCTAAGCTATTTCTTGTTAAATTGAAGTAAAAAAAAAATACGTATCTAATATTTTTCTATTATCTGACTGACGGACTAAATAGAATTGCATTTTTTTACCCAGTCATCATCCCTATTATTGTAAGCACTTCGCTAACGCAATGTGAAAATTATTATTATTGTATAGGACTTATAGCTAAAAAGCTGTAAATGATCACCCATGAAGATAGTATTACACATAACATGGCCCATCGATGTACAGTCGACAGCACGTCAGATTATACAGCACTGTCAAAATTCTTCACTTGATTCTAAACGTTAAACATATCAGCGTTAAAGTTCAAAATCACTTGCGGAAATTCGACATATTGTGGCAGCCTGACTTGCAAACGTGAACCAATCAAAATAATTCCTGATTCCCATCGTTTGTGAATGATAATATAATGAAAATGTAGTGCGATGTATTTTATACCTTACGGTTATTAACACAAGACCGGTTATGAATTTTAATTAATCTAAATAAGGTATACCAATTACAGCGCAATGTCAATGAAACTTGCCACCCTAGGCAAAGCACTGGAACTCCAATGAAAAATCATAACTAAATGAGACTAATTTAGGTACACCGATCAAAGAGTATTGTTTGTCAATGACTATATAAAAGAAACTCTTTATTAGGTACTGCAGCCCTGCGATTATGTGGAGATCCAAACCAGAATTCGAATTCACTCAGGTGTGTGAATTCACTACAAAAAAACGGCATCTAAGTGATATGTAGTTATAAAAACATCTTCGAAAGCTATTGGCAAATGTCAAACGAAATTAACTATGACATTTATATCATTCCCACACCCCACACCCACACACAGACAGAAATACACACACACACACACGCGCACACACACGCACACACACACACACTCACACACACACACACACACACGCACACACACACACACACACACACACACACACACACACACACACACACACACACACACGCACGCACACACACACACACACACACGCACGCACGCACACACACACACACACACATACATGTCACACCTAATCATCTTTTATTCTACATTGCATATTCCAATAAACTCTTTATTAAATGTATACATTTGTATAACTGTACCCTTAAGTAGTAAGTTATAACATTATTATGTCATCCGTTTGTCGGGAGTGGAGGCCTGATGACCTTTAATACAGGTATTCTTCTGAATATCTAACTTAGGCATCAGTCTCACACCAGAACCTTAAGAACAACTGTGTTTGTAACTTACTAGTATTTAAAACATTCTGTGTGATGAGAAAAAATTTTTTTATTATTTATTTATTCAAATCGCCATTCGCTCGAAAAGTGATTGTGACTTTAAAAATAACACAATCCCTTAAATCACTATCACAACAGCTATACATTTGAAAGGAATTATGATGGATTTTAAATAAAGACAATCAGACCACAGGTCTGTGCAAACCTCCGTCGCGACATTTTTAATGACTAATGTTGCCAGTTCAAAATAATACTTACCGTCTTACCAGCATCACCACTAGTCCATAGCGTTATTGCTTTATCACAACCTAAAGGGGTGCTCATCCCAAATATCTGTGTAACCCATCTATCATCCTCCTCTATCATCTTCTTCTCACTCTTCCTCCAAAGAAAGCCGAAGAAAGAACTATTTTTCGGCCACCACGAATAAGGGAACAGTAATATAATCTTGTCCATAACCCCTATAGATATAGTCTGTATAGATTTTATTTTTATTGGTGGTAACGTTGGCGAGAAGATCTGTGAATGTCTGCAAATAATTTTCTATTCTGTGACAATTATTAAGTTATATTTCTTTTATAAAGCTTTTTTAGATATTTTATTTAATACTATATTTTTAGCTTTTCAGCATAATTAAAATTAACTCGGTTTCAGTTATTATAATCAAAACAAATAATGCTATTTCTACTATTCAGCACCATTGTCATAGTATGGATATGCCCGAGATGCCGGATTTAAAATATTTCGCTACAAATGCGAATCTATTTAAAATGCTATACTGCACTGAATCCCATTAGTGTTAAAAAGAAATAATTATTTGAGTTTACTTGAACGCTATTTTATTGTCACGTATAATAAAGAATTCTGTATACTGTAATATAAGAAGTATTTTCAGAGTGAAGAACGCACTTTGGCAGGATAAAATTTAGTTTGTGTTTATTAGACTTTTTGTCGCAGCAGTAATGTTTTAAAATATTTTTAAATATGTTTTATTGTAATTTTTTTTTTATGATATCAACACTCGTTCCCAAAGTAATAAACACTTGTTTAAGGCTTTCTGTCTATCCTTTATAAAAAGTCAATTTTACTTTATATTATACCTATGCATAGACCTGTGAAATAAATCAAAAATAAAAAACAATATTCATATAAATAAATTTTTGTTCCATATAAGATCATTATTATCAGAAAAATATAGTTTAAAATGCTATTAATGATGAGCCATATCCATGTTAATATGAACCAAGTTTGAGTCATTCAAGGTTTTCGTTCCACTGCACTCGGGACATCTATTGGCTGATAAGATTCTGAAGTCATTTGGGTTACTTCCACTACTTAATTATTAGTAAAGGTGATTTAAAATGCCACAACCAAAAAATACCATCCAACATACAAGCCTGCGTTTACTTTAAGATACCTTATGTAATGGTTATGATTATGAATGTGTATTTTCCCATATTTTTTTTTAACCCAGTGCATCTTAAACAATATCTATTATGCCCTTATTTTAAAGTGTCTAATGCAGTAACCAAATTTCTGTTGCATCAACCAAAATCGAAATAAGCACTTAGTCTACTAACCAATCTACCAGTATCTCCAGTTGTCCATATAGTCAAAACATTACGCGATCCCATTGGGCAACTGGCGCCACCTAATCTAGTCATCCAAATGTCTTCTGTGACCGACATTCTATCTTGAGCCTTCCACATAAAAGCAAATAACCTACTATTTTTGCTTAACCACCATTCATGGTCGAATTCCAAAATTATTTTACCCAAAAGACCCATACGTAGGTTTTGTATGGCGTCAATTGTCTTCTGCGGTAAACTTGGCGAGAATAGATCTGTGTGTCTGTAAATAATTTATAACTATCATACCTTTCATAATACACTATACGAATTTTCAAATTGAAATATTTTTTGTTTAAATATTTAAAAACAAATAATTATCTTTTTTAACAGTTTAACCCCGGTATCTCGAGGCGTATCCACACTAATATAACGTCGTTAGTCCAAAATTGTAGTATCTATTCTAATCGATCAACAGAAACACAAATATCCAAACTAAAGAGTATTTTTAGACAATAAATATTATTATTATTAAACTAAGAAGTATGGAAAAAGAGTATCGTTTATGTAACATTTTTAAAATATATTGTTGTCATTCGTTGGGACTGATTTGGTTACTCAAATAAATAGGCATAATATACGAGTGACTAACACTAGTATAATAAACATTGTGTCAAAAAGAATACTTAAGCGTCCTCTATAAGTGTTATATATTATAGAGTACGGGACTACATGATATAGAGTACAGTACCCTATTAAAGAGTACACTTGGCAACCCTACTTCAACATGTCACTCGATCAGAGAGAGAGAGAGAGAGAGAGAGAGAAGATCGCGGTACCCTTGTACCTTTATTTGAGCAAGAGTTTAGAAAAGAAACATAACAGGTGACGATGCTAAGTCGTTAAGTGTACACAGCATATACGTCAGTAGGTCATCTCTCTTTCTAATCGAGACTTTATGGCGCCATCTATTTATTAAGTAAGATGACATGGAGTGGTTGGTTTATCATGTTTTAATTTTAACCGACTTCAAAAAAGGAAGTTATCAATATAACCTGTGAGTACGTATGTAATTTTGTAAGAATGTAATATTCATATATGTTAATTTAGGCTTCTAAACAATTGTTTTTTTCTTATAAGTGTGAGGAACGGAGTCTCGGTAGTTCTTACTGATTGTGCCTCCAAAAACTTAAGATAAAAATATAGTATTAAATATAGGATGTTTGAGGTTCTTTCTTTTTTCTTACATAGAGAGTACTGTCAGAAACTGGCAAAAAGTCTTCTATACTAATATTATAAAGAGAAAAGTTTTGATTATTTGTTTCCAACGAATAGGTTCCGTTACTTCTGGACCGATATTAAAAATTCTCTCTCCTACGGGAAGCTACATCATATGCGGTGAATATAGACTATATTTTATCCCGAAAAAAAAGCAAACAAAGGAATGAAAATGGGAGTTGAAGTTTGTATAGGGAATTGAACGTTACCACAGTAACCATTGTTTACTATTCAATTTGTCAATGTAATTATATACGTGTCATGGTGTGAATCATGATATCCAAATAAACAGTTCCATGGAGACCACGCGGGAGAAACCGCCGGCGGAAGACTAGTACCTAATAAATAGATGACGCCTTATCCTCTATGATTTTCAAAATCTTACCTCTCTTTCAGCACACCAATGGACACTGTCACAATGACATTTTCGGCTGTATAGGAGCTGCCGTCTTTACATGTCACTGTCACCTTTTTGCTAGGATCCTGGGACCAATTTATTTGTGTAACCTCCTTGTTTAATTTATATTCTAAATTTGGCAACCCTGTTCCGTTATTGTAAGTGTTCTGTGGACCAAGTTATTTAGATAAGTATATAAATAAATATTTGGCAGCATATACCTATTATTATATGTATAAATGTTTTAGTCGCTTAAATTAACATATGACCAATGTATGTGATATACTTATATGTATATATCTTATTGCAGCTTTTCATACAAGACTGAATCCACAAAATTTAGGAGGCATACATTTGTTTGACCTAATAATATTTACGCATAATACGTGCAAACACAATACTCTTCAAGCGTAAATTTAAAACCTCTAATGGAAGTTGGCACAGCACGCTCGCTTCGCTCGCTCGTTTCGCTTTTTTGTCACAATTATATCTATTAATATCATATTATGTGAATCAAAAATATGCAAAAAATAAAATCTAAATTATAATTATGTCAACATATACTGTACGCGAAAAACAATTGTTATGCCAAAAATAATTATGCTAACGTGCATTAGGAATAAGAACATTATGCAAAAAGAAGAGATACCATTTTTATTATTACACGACTGCTAAAAAAAGAAGTGTATTGTTTTTACGGTTAATGTAGATATGTCGTGTGTACGAGGGTCAAACTGAAAGTTCTTAGAACTGGCCACTTATAAAAAATATAATAAAAAAATAATTCTAAAATTTGAAAATATAACTCTTTGCCAATATTACTGAGTATATATTTCATTCATTTGTCATTTGTTTTACGATTTGGCGGCAAATTGAAAATTGTCTGTGTCACGTCATCATGAATTTAACACGAGAAAATTTTCGTGCAATGATTTTTTATGACTTTCGATGTCATTTAAGTCAACAAGAAAGTTATGATAGACTACGATTGGCCTTTCACGATGAAGCCCCATCTCGTGCGACTGTTTACAACTGGTTTATTGAGTTTAAACGTGGTCGCACTAATCTCACTGATGATTTACGTGAGGGACAGCCTTCTACGGCGACGACTGAAGATAACATCTGTGTTGTGCGGCGTATGATAGAGACTGACAAAAGAGTGACCTATCAACAGATTCGGACAAGCTTAGGCATCGGTATGAGTCAAGTGCACAAAATCCTCCACGAACATTTAGCGGTCAGGAAGCTTTGCGCCCGGTGGATACCTCATAATTTGACTGAGGCTCAAAAACTCCATCGTGTGGATTGGTGTCGTAAAATGATTGAAAGATTTAACGGAGGTGACTCAAATGCTGTGTTCGACATACTAACAGGTGACGAAAGCTGGATTTACTGTTATGATCCTAAAACCAAAAGACAATCTGCTCAGTGGGTGTTTCCTTTCGAGGAGTTGCCAACTAAAGTGAAGAGAGATCGAAGTGCGGGAAAAAAAATGGTGGCCTCGTTCTTTGGAAGGATAGGTCATTTTGCAACAATTGTGTTAGAGGATCAAAAAACAGTTTCTGCAGAATGGTACACTACCAATTGTTTGCCACTTGTCTTGGAAAAAGTTCGAGAGAAACGACCTCGCAGTAGGATCCTCCTTCACCACGACAACGCCTCGTCGCACACCGCCAAGCGAACGATCGACTATTTGGCGACATCAAACGTTGAATTACTGGGTCACCCGCCGTATAGCCCCGACCTCGCGCCTTGTGATTTTTATTTATTTCCAAAAATTAAAGAAAAACTTAAAGGAAAGCGGTTTATGAATGCTGAAGAAGCGGTGGCTGCGTATCGCGATGCCATTGAAGAGACCCCTAAGGACGAGTGGGCAAAGTGCTTTTCCCAGTGGTTCCATCGCATGCAGCGGTGTATTGACGTGAATGGACAATATTTTGAAAAGATATAATAAAACTAATAACTGGCTAATGTAATCAGTTTTTGATTTTCTAAGAACTTTCAGTTTGACCCTCGTATGTGAGACGTAACGGACGTATTATCATAAGAAACTTTACATCATTCCGAGTGACATTGACATACATTCGCCATATTTTTTTTTACTAAAAAAAAATATGCAAATGTATGTCGCCATAAAAAAATAAAAAAACACGACTGCTAAAATCGAACTGGCAACAAAGTTATTTATGGCTTGGTCTCGTCTTGTTTAGACTCTCATTGCAGTCAGGGAACGGTTGTGTAGACCATAGGTAATCTATGAGTTCCTCAGACAGACAGAATCTTGTTTAGCCACGCCATAATACTACTAAGCGCCGCGGCCCGCGATCGTTGTTGTTAAGCAACTCTCGCAAAGGCCAATCACGGGATGGGTGACCAAAAAATGGTTATCTCGAGCTACTCCATGCTTCTGAAGGCACGTTAAGCCGTTGGTCCCGGTTGCATTTGCAGTCGTCAATAACCTCCAATTAGCATTGGGCCAGTGTGGTGGGTCATGGCCCATTCTCCTTAATTATTCATAAGGAAGACCTGTGCCCCTGCGGTGGGGACGTAGAAGGGCTGATGATGTTGGAGTCATGATACAACTCGTTTCTTTAATTTTTAGTTCGATTTTGGCAGACGTGTTTTTACTTATTAAATTAATATAATTGGAGTGTCTGTTTGTAACATGAAAATAAACTACCTATATAAATTTTTCCTATTTTTGTCTATTTGTCTGTTCCGGATAATCTCTGAAACTTATATGGGTAGGTAGTAACTTAAGCTATTTTTCATGGGGAAGAAGTCGTAGGCAGAGTAGTATATAACTCACCAATAGAATTTCAAATAGAGTCTTGTAACCGTTCCTATGCCAGCTGATGTGCTGATCTCCGTCCAGCTCTCTATATTTACTCTCTGTAGTGACGTCATTCCAGCTGGTCGTCGCCTCGTAATTGTCAATAACAAGGTCCAGGAACGCCAGCAATTCAGTTATGTAGTCCTGGTCCTTCAATAGATCTGGGTATTTCCCCTTTATGTAATCCAAGAGTCTGCAAATTTTAGATCGTCTTAACCAGCCTATTTTTGTTTGTTTGTCCGTCAGGTAGTGTTAAAAAATATTAAACACGTATTTTTTTCGTAATAATTAAATTAAGGCGTTACATGGAGTTGAAATTTCGCATGACGTCACGTTAGGGTAAGTTTTCTACTCAACTGTGACGTAGCGAACTCCCACTCCTCAACTTTAATGCCTGTTATCTAAGTTATTTCTTGTTGAATTGAAGTATAAAAAAATACGTATCTAATATTTTTCTATTATTTGACTGACGGACTAAATAGAATTGCATTTTTTTACCCAGTCGTCATCCCTATTTATACGTAAAATTACGCAAAGCTGGAAGTTGACGTCAGCTCTAGCACATGCAGTAAATAAAAAAACTTTCCAAAACATTTTGTTTTTTGGAAAAGATCAATAAGCTTGTGCTCTACAATTGAAAATACAGATTTTTGTTATATGTTTGAAAAATATGAACCAATCCATAATTTTTATAACACTTCTTTGGAAAATATTACACTTTGAAAACTTGATAATAGTAGGGAAATCATGCTACAAAAATTTGCTAAAATACACATAGTATTAAATTAAAAGATACAACTTTCATTATAACAGTTATAAACATATACGCACAAATAACAAAGATATTACAAAGATTCCCCTGACGTTCATACTTTTTTCGCTACAATACTAAACTGTGACGTCACATTTTAGTCTGCATTCGTATGAAGGAAATAGCACCGTATCTCCGAAACTATAAATCGCAGACATGCTGTTACTTCTACATTATTTTTCAGATATTAATGGACTATTTATATATAAAATAAAATAAAAGTTTTAAACTATCCTATTCCCATCTACTTATTTATTTATTTATACATTGCATGTAACAAGTATAAAGATGTTACATTTAGATTTACAGTTCATGTTACAACCTGTAAGAGTGTAGCAATTTAATATGGTCAACCTTCACTAGTTGGAGAGGCACTGTAAGAAGAATTTAACTCTTTACTTGCAATACCTATGGCCAACCTTCACGAGTTATAGAAGTACTTTAAGAGAATGTAGCTTCTTATTTGCAATATCTTTAGCCAACCTTCACGAGTTAGAGAGGCATTTTAAGAGAATGTAGCTCCTTATTTTCAATATCTGTGGCCAATATATACTAGTCTGAGAGGCACTTTAAGAGAATTTAACCCCTTATTTGCAATCCCTAAGGCCATTCTCGAGATAGAGAAACACTTTAAGAAGAATGTAGCTCCCAAGAAACTAACTCACCTGCTCGTGATATACTGTCCCAAAGGCTGGGCTTCTTTTGGAGGATCTTCGCAGACTTCCAAAGCGAATGCCACCAGCTCGTTGATCAAGTCTCTGTCTCCTTTACTGCCGTCTGACAGGTACACATCCATTGATATGTCTTGGGAGATGACCGGCACGTTATTCTGTATGGCCAGGTCGTAGACGCTGCTGGGTCGCTGCCCGTGGATCCTTTGAGAGGAATTAACGTCAAACTTTTTTTTATATACACATTATGGTATTAAAAGTATCTATCTATCTACTTAGTCCATTATTATTAGTGCAATGTCCTACCTCACACATCAACGGTAACAGATATATTTTTATTGTTGTGATCTAGTCACAAGAGCTGTGTCATAAAGGGTTATTGAAGCGCTATTGAATAGGTATGATGACTAATTTTCGTTTGTTTGTCCGTCAGGTAGAGTGTTAAAAAATATTAAACACGTATTTTTTTATTTTTTGCGTAATCATAAAATTACGGCGTTACATGGAGTTGAAATGTCGCATGACGTCACTTCTACTCAACTGTGACGTAGCGAGCCCCCACTCCTCAACTTTAACGCCTGTAATCTAAGCTATTTCTTGTTAAATTGAAGTAAAAAAAAATACGTATCTAATATTTTTCTATTACCTGACTGACGAACTTAATAGAATTGCATTTTTTTACCCAGTCATCATCCCTATTTCTATAAGTGGTATCACCTTATTGGATGAGGCAACCCATAAAAGTGATACTACCCGCTATATAAACCATTGCAGAGCTCAGTCCGTTTCGTTCATCGTGGTGTACAGACGTTTGGGTAAACATCAGTTATATAAGATAGATAGATAGATAGATAGATAGATGAACTCTTTATTGCTCACACACAAATTAAAGTTTACAGGAAATTTCTTAGTTCTAGTGGGCAAAGGCGGTCTTATCGCTAAAAGCGATCTCTTCCAGACAACCCTTGTTTTAAAGGACACCTGTCCGAAGGATGTGGTAGTGTGCCAACATTTACAAAAAAAAATAAAAAAAATAATAATATCCTAATACATATACATACATATAATACATACATATAGATATTACTGTAATATATAATACTTACTTAAAGTATAGTGGTGTGTGCCGTAGTGGACGAGCGCCGCAGCCCGCGTTGTTGTTAAGCAACTTTCGTAATGGTCAGTCACGGGATGGGTGACACAAAAAATCATTTACTCGGGCTACTCTGTGCCTACGAAGGCATGTTACGCCGTTTGTCCCAGCTACATTTTCAGTTGTTAATACCCTCCAATTTGCATTGAGCCAGTGTTGAGTTTCATGGCTCATCCTCTTTACCCATCCATGAAAAGGCTGACGATTATTATTTAAATTAGAAGAAATTATTTAGATTAGTTATTTGAAGTAATTACTGTTCTATGTTTTGGTTTTAACGCTATTAAATGGTATATTGCTGTTCTTGGGTGATACTATTATCTTATTGTAGTTATGAAGCATTCAGTGATAATACAAAACAGTTAATTATTAGTAGTCATATAATACAGCTACTCTGATGTCTCACAGTAGGCATTCCCATAATTGCGCTAACATTTGCAGAATTACTCTAGTTACCATTCAGCTCCTAGCTCAACGACCCCATCACCGAAAGGAACAGTGCAGACTCTACCACCGACCCTGTTCTGGGCTTCTAGCACGAGCACTCGTTTGCCGGAGCGCGCCAGCGTGCTAGCGGCAGAAGCACCTGACGCACCCAAACCAACAACTATCGTATCGTACATTGCCGAGCTGTAAACAAAAAAATAAACATCAGTAAAGAAAGATTTACATAATGCAAGTTATATAAAACTGCCTGCACTGCATTTATTTTATCACTTTCACAATGCATGCAGTTTCGCAACACTTATGCCTGTTTTAACTTACTTAGGAATCACCTGAAAATGGATGTCACCAATCACTAGGAAACACCTAATGACATTAAGTGGTGCTTGAATCAATGTCTAAAGTTAAGACATGCATTATTTAAACTACACCTTACGCTGGCATTTGAGTAATACTACTGGTCACAAATATGACAAAGAATAAAAGAAAGCTAATCTGCTTAGCTTAGGGGGATTCATAAAATTAGGAGTTTCCTAGTTAAGCTATGCCTTATAAGTGAAAGTGGAATTAGATAGATAATAGCAGTAGTATTTTTGACGAAACTACTTTCATGCAACTAATTTCAACTAAATTTAAATGGCATATTAGCGAAACTAGTAGCGCTACATAATCGTAGTAGTGTTAATGGCAGCAGATGCAGCCAGGACCAGTGACTTAACATGCCTTCCGAAGCATGGAGGAGTTCGAGATAATAAATATTCGTCACCAATCCTATAACCGACCATTGCGAAATTTCGCAGACCAAGCACACTCACACTGCTCTTCAAATTGCACTATCTTCGTAAATTTATTCAAATCGCTATTAAATATATTATACAAATAAAATAGGAACCCACAAATCCAATTATTAAATGTTAAAATATTCGGAAACTTTCTTGGAAATCTATTCAATAATAAATCGTTTTTAATTCTGATAGGTAAATAATCACTACACAATCTTATAAGATAAAAAATCTAATTATAGATCAACTCGCCCAGTAACGATTAATCTGAATAATTAAATAGTTTAAAACTTATAAAAGAAACAGACCATTAAAAAGCCCATTATAACATCAAAAAGTTTAAATAAATTGTAATATGTCTTAAATTATCAAATTTTAAGGTTATAAAACAGTCTGCTAATTAATATTATTAAATTACATACAACTTACTCTTTCAGTATAAATACGGGAGCACTTCGAATCAAATTTATTTTATCATAACGCAATCTAATAATTTATTTATAACTATATTCTATGAACAAAGCCATTGACAACAAAACTGATAAGGTGATATGACATTGACGTTCATTTGACATTAGAAAATTGATAAGTTCATTATTAAATGAAGACAAAGGAATCAAACTCAAACTCATTTATTGCTTTCATGTGGTGAAACAGATGTTGTTTTTTTCTTTGTACCTTGACATGAACCCTGATAAGCAACCCTGCAACAATAGTTAAATTAAACTATAATTATCATAAAATCAAATTAAAGTAAGTATCATGCATAACAATAAAATAATAACAAAATTAAAAAGTTTTTTGCATCCAAATTGTCATACTAATAAACTGTTATATAATTATATAAAAAAAAAAATTCACGGTTTATATATAATTATCAAATTATAAATTAAAATTTAAAGGGGTGGAAATGAATGTATGGAATTACTTCCCGTGTCACTGAAAAACTCCTGTAGCGAGTAGTAGCATTTTTGTGATAGATATTTTATTAGGTTATTTTTGTAAACATTTATGTTTTCGATTACTTTTATACTGTCGGGAATAGCGTTATATATCTTGACGGACATAGAATATGGTCCTGTGTTTACCATTTCTAGTTTTGATACTGTTTTTTCCAGTTTGTATTTAGGTCTTAACCTCGATGGGCGGGACTGTATAGGATATATATTTTTTTGAACTGCTAGACATTGTTGCAAAATGTATATAGATGTAACAGTTAAAATGTTTAATTTTTTGAAAAAAGATCGGCAGCTAGTCAAAGAATCTATATTTGCAAGTATTCGGATACATTTTTTCTGTAGGGTAAATGTCTTTTTAGCATCAGTACAGATGACGCCAAACAACTTGAACAAAAAGTGTGGTGGTGGGGGAAAGTTTGCGCATGTACACTTACGAGCAAAAAAACCTATGCATTAGAATTTCTTATTCCTACGTTAACTATTTATTTCTGTATTTTTTCTGTCCTATTTGCATGAGTGACTGAGTGGTAAACGTGCACACGAATGATACACGTGAAGTAAGTAGCTGCGTGTATAGTAGTAGTGAGAAATTACGAGCCTCCGATGTCTGTTTCATTGTTTCAAAATCGGATGTTTCTTCTTTCTTTAAAAAGCAATACACATCGTATACCATCTTTCTGGCTTGCCTTTTTAAAACTGTGTTTGATTGTCGACGAGACATATTTTGAGGTCGTGATGTTATTGCCTGCAAGTGTACTGAAGTAGCGACGAGACGTGAACACAAAGCGGGAAGCGATGGTTGACTGATCCACCAATAGCGTGGATTGGCGCGGTCGATGCGATCCTACTTCCGCACGCCGCGCCCCGCACCGCATACCGCGACGCCTAAAATCGGTTTCTGCGCATGCAAGGTCATTTGTTCAAGTTGTTTGGCGTCATCTGTACTGTTGCCCCAAAGCGTAATGCCGTAGCTGAGCCAAGCATGTGCGTATGCATAGTAGGCAGAAGTAGCAGTTTGAAGATCTGTAGATTTTTTGAGTTCCGAAAGAGCATATGTAAAACTAGATAATTTACTAGTAATTTTTTTTACGTGTTCTTTCCAGTTTAAATTGCTGTCTATAATTATTCCTAAAAGACTATAAGAATCGACTGTTTCTAAAAGTTTATTATCAAATTTGTAATTAACTTCTAAGGGTTTCTTTTGGTGAGGCCTGAATTGCATCAATTTTCTCTTTTTTAAATTAATTTCAAGGTTATGATACTTAAGCCAACTAGTTATCAATGCAAAATTGGAATTTAATAATTCGTTTAATTGTGTGGTATTTTGACATGGTTTTATTAATGCTACGTCGTCTGCAAAAAGGATACATGGAATATCTAGCAGACTGGGCAAATCATTAACGTAAATTAAAAATAACAGACATCCGAGGACACTACCTTGGGGAATGGCATGATTTAGAAAAACTTTGTCAGATCTCAACATTTTTATTTGTCCAGTTTGATGGTCATAGGACTCTATGTCAACATATTGAACTCGTTGTTGTAAATATGATGTAAACCACTCGTGTGCACTACCTCTTATTCCTATGTTAGAAAGCTTACTCAGAAGGTGTTAATTATTGAACATGAATGCATCGATTCGTCTATGATTTTTAATGTGTAACTCTGAGTTCCGTGTCCGATTTCTCAGGTTTGGTCTGTGTTCTTCAGAGTGTGTGTGTGAAAATGGCGATAAAAATAAATGGCATGTTTAAGTAATCAAGCAATGGTTCTTTGATTTATTCGTGACTGCAGTACTACATTTTTAGTTCCTGACACCGTACTGAACATCTGGCGACCCTGCCAGGATAATTGGCAAAAAAAATAATTTGTAAGTACATTTACATAATGGAACAAAAAACTAAAGTACGTGCCGTAGTAAGACGCCATTGCACGAAGTCTGCTAATAATTTTGAGGCATTACTTCAACAAAAAGATTACAGTAAATTGCAAGAAATTATAGCATGCTATAAAATAACTAAAGATACATTCACCCAATTAATTAATTTAGACATTGAAATACGTGAACTAATCACGTCGAAAGAAAATTGGGATGAGAAAGATCTGGAAAAAGAACTGGAAGAAACCGGTAAATACCAGACCAGGTGGGCATTATTAGAAACAAATTACCTTAACTTTTCTAAAAATGAAGATGTAAAACCCCAAAATACAAATAAGATTTCCTTTAAATTACCCATTCTAGAAATTAAGAAATTTAACGGGAATATAAAGGAGTGGTTAACATTCTGGGGACAATTCAAAAAAGTCCATTCAGACTCATCGATTGATGAAGTAGATAAACTACAATATTTAACACAGTCGATGGAACAAGACTCAGATGTTCGAATCTTCGTAGAAAGTTTCCCACTGACTAAAGAAAGCTACAGTATTTGTTTAAACGAATTAAAATCTCGATATGCGAGAGAAGATTTATTAATACAGATGTATATCCGAGAGTTACTATCACTGATACTAACAAAAGAAAATAATTTAAATCTTACCACGTTATATGACAATATAAATAGTCACTTGAGAGCATTAGAAGTACTGCATGTGACTAAAGAAAAATCTGCATTACCAAAGGACATTTTGAAAGCTTGGGAGCGAGTTAAACCATCAGACACAAAGGAAGAATTAAATGATTTGCTAACATTTTTGAAGAAAGAAGTAGAAAGCAATCAAAGAATGGAGCTAGCTTCTACCTTTAAAGTTGACAATAGATCAACAAAATCAGAGCCAACTGCGTCCTGCTTTAATGTCAATATAAAAGAAAGGGAAGACACTAATTTAAAATGTGTTTGGTGTGACAAGAGCACACACCATAGTACAAGTTGCTACAAAATATCTAAGATGTCACTGGAAGAGAGACGTGAGCACCTGAAGAAAAAGAAGGTATGTACGCGGTGTTTAAAGAAGGGACACTATGCGAAGGCTTGCAAGAGTTATATTAAATGTTTTGTATGCAGCCAGTCTCATTCTCCAATATTATGTCCAGGAATCGTTTCAAGTCCACAACATCATGAGAAGCAGAAGAAAAGTGACTGTACTATTCCATCAGTTCAAAATTATGCAGCACATAAGCCATCTACAAGCAGTACTACGTTGTTACAAACTGTTATGGTGCGAATCGCTCAAGGGGATAAAACATCTACTGTTCGAGCATTGTTTGATAGTGGTTCACAGAGATCATACATAAAGGAAAAAGTGACAGAAGAGAATGCAATGATCCCCGAGGGAAAAGAAGAACTCAGTCATTCCTTGTTTGGTGGTGTAACGGTATCTTTTAAGCAATTTAATTCATATAATTTTAAAGTGAAAAGTATGGACAATTCTTTTGAATTTGAAATGTCTGCATTAGGTCAAAATACTATTTGTAAAAATGTACCTAGAGTTAATGAA